AAAGGTGTCCCCCCCGCCCCCCCCCCAACTACTATTTCTGTGCGGCATGGAACCATTAGCACAAAGAATAAGAAAAGACAAGGGTCATAAGCAGAATAAAGATATCAGGAGGGGATGAGGTAAAATGTGTACTGCGCATGCATGATATAAATGTAGCAGTTAGCGAATTTCAGTGGAAAGGGTACAAAAGCGCACACAGTATGAAGAAGTGACAGGGGCTAAACTAAATAGATTGAAAAGCATGATAATGGGAGTGAGAAACTGGAGGGACTTGGAGAAGCTGGGCCTTCAAATCAGAGAGAGAAATCGGAGTGCTAGGGATCCTGATGGATGTCGAAGGGGAAGGTAATAAAGCATGGGAAAAGGTGATGGCAAGGCTACCGCAAATATTTGGTTATGGTCCAGAAGGACACTGTCCTTTGCTGGAAAAGTGGTGGCAGTTAAGGCTGTGCTGCTGCTGATTATTCTATATACAGGAATTGTATTTCAACCGACATGGCGGCAGATAACAAAAGCACAGAGGGAAATGTGTGTTCTTCTGCAATGCCAAAAGAGAGAGGTTGGCTAGAGCTGAACTGTACAAAGCAAGATAGATGGGGGCTGCTGGACTTGGGATTGTTTATCTATGCAAAATATGTAAACACAATATGCAAGGGGGTAATGGAGGGAGAGGGGAAAGCTGTGCATATCACCCGATTTCACGCAGCTGCACTTTTGAGGAAATGGAGGAGTGTAACAAACCTCTTTGAAGAGCCCATGGGCATGGCAACCTCTGATTCATTACATCAGAATGGAAGGATTCATGCAGAGGTATAAAATAGGGAAGGCAGGATGAGAGGTCCTGAAGGATCACAAGAAGTTGAAAGCAGTAAGGTGGGAGAGACAAGATGGCACTGGTGGGAAACTTTACAAAAGGACAAGTGATGAAGGTGTGGGGAGTGGTGGCGGGTAAACAACTGAAAGGTGAATGTGCTGACCTAGTGCAGATGGTTGTAAGAAATACCTTGCTCGTGACAGAAGTGCAACATAGATGGGGTTTGACAGACTCATCAAATTGCCCAAGGGAAAGGTGCAGGGAAGAAGTAAGTGGGACATGTTTTGGGAGTGCATGTATGCAAAGTGGGTATGGGAAAGGGTCTGCTGCTTTCTGAGTGTCACCAGAATAAATCTGTTATTAGTGGGGGAGATGGCACTATACCAAAGGGACTGGAAGAAATGTTATTAAGGACTTTATTAGCATGTGTTAATGCTAGTTTATGGAAAGTAAGAAACTTCTGGGTGTTTAAGGGATTGACTTTCACTGAAAGAGAGTGCCTGAAGCTGGGACTGTGAACTGTAATACTACATCAGTCAGGACAAAGAAGAAATCAAAGAGGAAGAGGCAGCAAGTAGAGGAAAAAGGACTTGACACACTTGTTTCACTAAACCAATAGAGAGGAGTGATGGGAGGGGCAGAGTTTCACATGGTTACTGAGGTAATGGTTTTTTTAATGGGATTCTGTATGGGGAGAGAGATTTCTGTAAGGGTTTGGTTCTTCTGGGAAGTTGATGTATGTTGTTTAAGGGTTTAATATGTACAACTGGATGCATCTACAAGAGATGCTAAATGTGCAGTAGACTAATTCTACTGCACGTTAATGTGGCAGGCGGTAACCGTGCTGATGTGCAATAGAATTAGTCTGTTGCACGTTAGTGTCACACAAAAGGGGTGTGCTGTCACTACTGTGCAGTTATGGTGCGTTAAGTTGGTACCTGTCATTACAGGTACTAAAATTAATGCACTGTAATTATGGCACATTAATGCATGTGTAGATGTGCCCTGTGTGTTTTTGATATATAGTTGTTTCTGTGCTATGAAATCTTGTAAAACAAGGTTGCTCAATATGCATAGCTTGATAAGTGGAGGGTGATAACTGTGTTTTTAATAATATTTGTAAAAAAAAACCAAACAAACAAAGTTCCCACTTCTCATAGTCCCTGTTGCCTCACAGGGGCTAACACGTGGGATCTCAGCCATTGTGGGCCAGAGGTCACTTTGAATGGCATTGTGTAGTTAAGGTTGAAGACCTGTCCAGTGCACTGCGGCCAGGGTCATCTGCCTGGATGGATGTGGTGGGGGCGATTGCCAACAAATGGTCAGTGTCGAACTGGTGAGGGAGGACTTAGAGTGGCTGAATGTCTTCAAGTTGGCAGGACCAGATGGACTAAACCCAAGAGTGCTGATGGAATTGGTTGGAGTCATTGGGGGACCGATGGCGAAGGTATTTGAAGACTTCTGGTGCTTGAGAGAGGTCTGAGAAGATTGGAAAAGGGCCAGCATGGCACCAGTCTTTAAGAAGTGGAGAGGGGAGGATCTGGGAAACTATAGGCTGGTCAGTTTGACTTCAATACCTAGTAAAATTTTGGAAAAAAATTATCAAGAAGTCCATTTGTGAGGAACTGGGAGAAGGCATGATGCTGAAGGATAGCCAACATGGTTTCACTGCAGGCAGGTCATGTCTGACCAACCTAGTCTTCTATGAACAAGTAACGAACCGCTTAGATGTGGGAGATGTAGTTGATGTCATATACCTGGATTTTAAAAAGGTCTTTGATATGGTCTCCCATGATGCTCTTAAAAAACAAACTGGCGGTTTGTGGGCTGGCAGAATCCACAGTCAGGTGGGTTGGGAACTGGTGAAGGGGTTGAACCCAGAGAGTGTTAGTGGATGGGCCTGTATTGTCTTGGTGGGAAGTGTCCCTAACCTTGGAAGTCTTCAAGAGGAGACTGGACAGACACTTTGCTGGGATCATTTGATGTTGGCAGTATTCCTGCCCAGAGCAGGGGTTTGGACTTGATGATCTTTCAAGGTCCCTTCCAGCCCTTAATTTTTTAGGCGCATCCAGACATGCATGGACGTTTGGTTCCCTGGGGACAACTAGTGCCACAGCTGCTTGTCCTTGGGGAATGCTCGTGCCCTGCATGCTTTGGTGCACATCAAGTTACCTCGGGGGCAGTGGGGGAGGCTGGGGCCAGCACTGTGTTGGCCCCAGCAGCCTTACCTGGGGTCTTGAGGGCCTCCCAGGGCTGCAGCCACGGTGATCCTGCCAGGCAAAGCCTGGCCAGCAGCTACAGCATGGCTCTGAGTAGCCTGGCTCTGCTTTTCAGCAGCTCCATGCTGCCCGAGCATGCAGTACTTTATTTTTTTCCCCCACCATGGTTTTGTTGGTTTGTTTGTTTGTTTTGACCCCTGGATATCCTGCAGAACACTGCAGAAGAAAAACCTGCAGGAAAAAAAACCTCCAAGTCTCACTCGCCCTTAGCCAGAGGCCAAAGGAGTGAGCTAGGGAGAAATCCCCAATCTACATAAAAAAAAAAAAAAAAAGCATGTAGCTGAGATCCTCCCATTGGGAGGCTATAGTAGACTCTCACAAAATCATAGGGCGCATTCAGATGAATTCCTGCCATGTAGGATGACTGCAATGGATTTGGGAGCATCTCAAGCCCCAGGTTGAAGACTGCGGGAGGGAGGATGCTTGCTGGTGGTAGCATCACACAGGCTTGAAGAATGAACTCTGCTCAGTTGATAGAATTTGGAATTGATTTGGATAATTTGGCCCGACACATGAAATTAAAAAAAAAATGCAGTAGGTCCCCATCAGCATCTCGACCTTTTAGTTAAGATCAAGCATTTTTGGCAGCAAGGGAAGGGATGGTTCTGATGCCAGTTTCTTATGGAGGGAACCACCTGCCAGGTTTTTTTGGTTGTGTTTTTTGTTTGTTTTTTTTTAAAGGCCAAAAAAGGTTCCCATCAATTTTGTGGAAATGGGGGACTGCTTTCGCACTTTTCCCCTAGCTGCTGTTTGGCTTTTTGGCTATGAGCAAGCAAATCTAAGAGGCATCTGAACTTCAAGGCTTCTGGGCCTGGGGGTTGCATGTAGGATGCCACCCAGAAAAAATGGTTCCCATCAGCATGTTTGCCACATATGGGTCATGTAATTTAGTCATGCTCAGTGTTGACTGCATTTAATCTACTTCAGAGTTGCTTTCCATTACTGAGAATGCGCTGCTTTAGTAGCAGTTCAAAGATAGGCAATATATTTAATGCGGTTTCCTTGTATGCAGATGTAAGATGAGGGTTTTTTTTCCCCCATGCTGATTGTGGGGAGGGGATCTCATCTTTTATTTGAGTAAATATAGTAACCCCATATTTTAGTGCTGCAGATACAAAAGAATGGGAGTCTCTAATAACCAATAAGCAGACCTGGGAAACACAACCGTCCAGAATGTATCATATTTTCTCATATTTGGATTGATTTATTTCTCAGGGGGAATTTTTTTATTTGGGTGGGGTGGGGAGGCAGACAGTAAAGTGCAGATAATTTCTTGCTACTCCAAAAAAGAGCCTGGTTTTGACATACTTTTCTGACACCAATTTCACTGGGTTTATCAAACTATAACTTTGCAACTATAGCAGAGTTTACAGTACTCTCCAGTAACTGTCAGTGGTCTTACCTGCTGCAAAGCTTGGGCTGTCGAGAGTCATAAGAGCAAAGCAGGAAACTTGTTTCATTATGGATTGGAGTGTGTGTGACTAAATGAGGGATGAATGGCACTGAACCAGGGACAGGCTCATTTTGTAAAATTATTTCATGCCTGGTTCTCAAAAAGTAATCTGAAGCATGGGGATCAAAGTCCTGAAATAGTAAATGGTTATAACCGCTGTTGCTAAAATTTGATATGTCCAATACCTTGTGTATCAGAGAACTTAATCCTGATGACTTGCCTCCAGAACTCCAGTTCACTAATAAAAACATTTTTTTTACTTTTTGAATTTTTTGGAAGTGTTCTAATGAGTAAAATATATGCAGATCTTTTGAAGATAACATCCTTATTTAATTTGACTTGTACAGAATTAATTGTTCCAGATTTAAAAAATAGCAAATTTTAGCATTCATTTTAATATGCATTTAACTTTCCGTTGCTTTTAAATTGCATTAAATATCTTGCTGATCTACAGATTTATCAGATCTATTCAAAAAGGTCTGCAGAGGATATTTACAAGATACTCACATCTTACAAAGCATCTTACCTGATTATAGAAGATTCAATTTGCAATGAGGTGGGGCCTGTGAGAGGATGTAGAATTAAAGACTTACTGGACATTGCTAATGGTCATGTAAGTAGCACTGGGACAAAGTTCAATGTATGAGGGGATGAATCATTGACATAATGATTAGAACGTGTTAGTTTAAAACATTTTAATTAGATAAGCCTATAGATATCACCCGTAAACTCTGAGGAGTAAAGCAGTTATTAAAATATGTCTAAAATATGTCTCTTCCATGCTCGTTTCTCCTTCTAAACTATTCCTAGTTAACTAACTCTTGCTTGCTCTGCTGATAGTCTACATTTTCTTTTGGTTATTTTTGGTGGCAGGGGATCAGAGGGAACAGCATCAGCCACAGCAAAAAGTCCTGCTGAAATGAGTGGTATGATTTGCTTTGAAAAAGGGTCAGGCTTTGATTCAGAAAGTAACTTTTAGGTACACGTCACTGTGACTATCTTTGAGAGAAAAGCCATAGTTCACTGGCAAGTTAGAGGTGGCTGAAAGCACTTCCTACCTGTTTTGTCTAATCCTGAACACCCAGGTAGTTCAAGTCCAATAAGACTCTGAAATTTCATGTTACTTTGAGAGAGTCAGCTGTCTATTATAATGCTAAAGTATTCTTGGAGGAATGATTGTCTCAAGCATGCTGCTGTCCTGTATTCTCCCGATAAGCCTTTTAAATAGGTCAGAACCACCATGTGATTGATTTTTGCTGCAAAAAGGTTGAAATATTTAGTTTTAGTCTGTACCCACAACTATAGGGATCATTTCCTAGGCTGAAACTTTGCAAGGGGTTTGGAATATTCCTAGTGCTATGTGGTGCTACCACAGGGTGGTATTTAGAAAGATTTGCTGCATTATTTATTTGGTTCTTTGAGAACCAGAAGAATATAGCATTCATCAGGGTGATTTGCAGAGTGCTTTTTATCAAAGGACACATTTGTGGTTTCAGGCAGTGGTGGCTCACTCTTCCTTTGCTGGCTTTCATTAGCCAAGAAAGCTGAGAATCTATTTGCAGGTATGGCTTTGGACAGACACAATGATGACCTTCTACCACACTCTTCATTTTTGGTTTGGGTGCTTCAATTTTTTTTTTCAAATAGAGAAAATATAGAGAGAGCTCTTTATAATCTTGTATTTCATTCTTTGAAAAAGAGGCAAGCTGTTCTTCATTTACATCAGATATTTTATAAAAACCACTTCTCAGGTATGCAG